CTTACTCAACACTGTTTAGTTGTATACATGTATTTTTCTCAATACTAAATAGAAACTTAACGCTGAAACTGACACTTCTTTTTCTGATCAAATCTTTTCATCATCCTTTATCTGTTTATACATATCAGAGAGCAACAGCAGGTAGAGGGGTTTTCTATTGTCTATTTAAATTCTCTATAGTTTTTCCTTTACTGCAAGTCACTTCAGATTAGAACGACACAATGATAGTAACTGATACATATTGACAGTGTTTTAATTTGGTCTCTATTTTATGTTCACATTGTCCAAGACACTTCTATATAAAGATACTTAGAGGGCTAATACCACATACTTTTCTGATGTATTAAATTACCAAGAATATTTCTAGCCAGTCACAACCCAGAGAAGTCAAAATTTATCTTCCCACAAACATTGCAGAACTGTAAAAGTATTTCATATGTTCAGTTGTTTCTTATCTGTACTGATTGCTGATCCGGCCAGGTTATAGACCAGGCCCAAATTTCCCCCTCTGACCAAATTTTTCAAGGTGCTATATGCTTTTGTAATGGGAAAGTCAACGGAACTTCTGGGAAGGGAGCACTACGTAGCTGTTAAACACTGATGAAGTCAATTTATTCTCATGTTGAGGTTGTTGAATCTTCCTTTGTTTAGTCTAGTTCTATAAAAAGAACAATATTCATAAGCATATCCCTAGAGATGGTTACTGACATTTTAAACAATTGTCTTAGCCTGCAACAGCTATCCTACATTTCCTTGTGTGATCATGGCAACTGACAGTACATACATCCAGCATAACCTCAGATTCAATGTAACCTAACTTCATCCCAGGATTACATAGGCTAAGCAGATGAGCAGTGATGAAACCCTGCACTATTTCTGAAAATATTTAGCACAGAACTGAGAACCATGCTACTTGGGATGCCGGTCCAGAAGTGCACTTGCACATGCTGACACTGAGCAGCTGGCTGCAGGAATGGGGCCGTTGAAGATGAGTCACAGGAGGCAATCTTGGCCACAGCCTGCTCAGCTGACAGGGCTCAAACATTACCAGTAGCAACCAGGAGTTCAGCATCTCTCCCACCTCTGGGGCAAGTGCAGCTCCTGTCACCACAAGGCAATAGGCTACACTAGGAATCACAGGGAAGGGGGAGAAGATATCCCTACCTCCTATGGCCACCATCCTATGCATGCTCTTGTGTCTCTCTGAAGTGCACACTCAGCCACCCCAGATCTCACACCCCTTCCTACAAGTCACTGAACTAAAATTGGTCAGAGTTTGTCAGATGTGCTCATAGAGATGACAAGACCACCCCTTAAGAGCATTTAGGAACAAGGATGTCAAATGACCCAGAGGGACAGGTGAACATAGTTTCTCAGCACCAAAAGCAGTCTCAACCCAGGGTAAAGACAGCAGCAGAAGGCAGGTGTCCAACCTAGCCTGATTTCACCGGCAAAGGTACACCCACGTGTACCTCTGCCAGCCATGCAACCTTCTTCACTCACTTCTTTTATCCGCCTTTGGTTTAGCTGCCTTGTGCTTCTTCATCTCAATGAACCATTTTCTAACAAAAACAGAACAGAAATATCATCCAGACTAGTCGGGAACGATAGTTTATTGGTTAGATTTTTGTGCTTTTGGCCTAGAATTGCGTGTGTCACACAACTGAGGGCATAGAGCAGAACAGGCTCAGCCCAGCCCAAAGCTGGGCACGTACCCCAGACATGGGGCCGAGTGTCTCCTGGCCTCCTGCTGGCACACAGCCCACTTGTGGCCTGGGTGATCTGCCCTGGTATTTAAACACAGCCAGAAGATCTTGCTTCATTTCAGAAAACACACAGAATGCATCCACAGCGGTGTGGAGAGGGTATCAAGACACGAAAGCAGGATTTCCATGGCATTGTCATCTCTCAATCAAACAGTACGAATGTTAGGAAACAGACTTTCTCCAAAGGAAACGGCAGCTTGAAGAGTGTCAGAAATGAGAGCCCCCGCAGAGATCCATCAAAACAACTTTCTTCTGTAACCACTACATAAGAGCAGTCTCTCAGCCTGACCTGAAAATCTGTAATCTGGTGCCCTGTCTTCTTCCCTTCCCTCCTTACAATTTGAAAATGAACCTTCTGAGAACAGAGGAGGACAAAACAGGACAGAACAGGACAAAAGCTCAAATTGGCTATAATTAATATTTCAATTATAATTAATCAATGCATAATACATGAGCTTCCAGTGCCACACTTTATAGTGCCATATTATGCCCTGGCAAGGTCACTGCCCTGCACTAGGCATGTGATCTTGGCAGCAGCCAGCTCCACACTGGCTTTGCTGCACCAAATGCCTCCATGGAGCAGTCCTTCCAAATCTCCTTCTATGTATTTAATCATGAATATGTCAGCGATAAAAGAATTTTTACTGTTGGCCCTGTTACTATGCAGAACCCCTACACACAACAGCACACAAGCTGCTTCTGTTATGTCTGCCTTCACACATGAGACCTCAAGTCCCAGCTAGTCACTTGCTAGTCACAAGCTAGCAGCCAGCTTCTCCTGCAGCACCGTGATGGGAACATATGAAGAAACATTTCTACTGTGAAGATGACCAAGCACTTGGGACAGGCTGCACAGAGAGGTTATGCAGTCTACATTTGAGGAGATGCTCATAACCTCACAGAACATGGCCCTAGGCAGCCTACTCTGAGCAAGGGGTTGGATGAGATGTTCTCCAAGGTGCCTCCAATCTCAGTTACTCTGTGAAAAAGGCCACAGTACAGGTATGATAAGAAAATAGTTGCATAAATACGATTATTTCTTAATCTAGCTGATACAAAATATTTGGGGACAGGAAAGAACCAGCATCATGTTTTTGTAAGAAAAAAACAGCTGTTTCATTGAGCCTATCGCAACCAGCACCGCATGCAACCTTGCCTACCACGCAGCCATCCTCAAACACTGCTCACATGCAAACAGAGCAAGAGAGCAGCAGGAGCACATTTGTCTGAGGACAAGATGAGACTGGGTCAGCACTCAGAAAGCAGGAGGAAGATCTGTCAAGTGGGCAGTAGCTAGCTGTGTTGGGCATGAAAGCTGGTCTATGGCAATAGAATAGCAAGAAGCTGGGCTTCCTTGACATGCTGGCAACCGCAGCCATCATAACAACAGAGTAAAGCATGTGTTAAATTCACAGTGTAACTAACAGCTCTAGGTCACCTTAAGAGTTCTTGAATTTAATACAATTTATCTGGCATGCATGAGACAATTCAGAACCATTTTCTTCTGAGCTGCTATTGAAGACCTGAGGTGGTATAACTGACAGTAAAGTTCCATCTTTTTTTGATGTGCACACCTTCCTTATAGCTCTCTGTCTCTGACAGCTGTGGTTTACCCAGTGACTTCATGAACTCTACAAGGTGGGAATGTATGTCACTAATACACTAAGACACATATTACCTCAAGAAGTTTGAATACTGAGTTTGATACATGAATTACTTACCTTTAAAGATTAATCAATTAAAATTAATTATGTCCCAAAAGGATGACAGTTTAACACCAAAAGGGGGGTGAGTCATCCAAAAGGTACATCACCAAATGATTTACTGCCACTGTAGAGAGCTTGATAATATCAGCAACAGGAGTTCAGCGCACTTCTTACTTCAGCTGATCCAAGGCACAGATACCATCCCCATGGTCACGCAGGGAAAGCAATTCAATATAGAACTTACTTGCAGCAGAAAAAAGTTTAAAGCTACCCTCTCTGGTACATCCTTCACTGTTTTAAAGTTCCAGATCTTACATTTAGGGCAGGAAATGTGGCAGAAATCCATCTGCCCTTGTCCAGGCAAGTTTTCTGCCCCTCTAAATTTCACTACTACAGTGTCAATCTGCCCAGTGCAAGAAACCAGAGACACGGAAAGATGACCTAGTTCACACCACGATGTCAACTGCCTTTGCTTAGGAGACTGAAGGTCCGAGAACTGCACAAATACTTCGGGAGTACCAGGAAACGGTCCTTTAACTTAAGGACAGTGGGTAGCCAGTATCTCAGAGATAAAATTAGCTACCTTAGCAAAATGTTCAGGCTCCCTGCACAGTTTCGATTTTACATGTCTGTGGCCGAATTTCTCTCTGTCGGGAAAGGTGCCAAAGCTGAACTTAATCATTAACATCAGAATCCTTTCTTTGGCCTCCAGTCGGCTGCCCATCACGGGGCTTAAAAGGCAGCGAGCACGACGCTTTGAACTCACGCAGCCAAACTTTTTTTTTTTTTTTTTTTTTTTCTTTCCCCCTACAAAAGCTTAACTTGTAGCTTTGTTTTGCTTCGTTTTCCCTCGGAGATGCACCGGCAGCCGAAAGCCCCGCCTGGCATAGCTCCCCCTCCCCTCCCAAACGGGAGTGCTGCCCGAGGACCTGGACCTGGAGGGGCTGTCGGAACCCCACACACAGCAGCCCACCTGGCAGCCCCGCTCCCCTCTTACATGGGAGCAGCGGAGGGAGCGGAGTGCGCTGCTCCCTCCCCACACGTGTCCCCCGCCCCGTCCCGCGCCCGGGGCAGCTCCCGCGTACTTACCGCGGCAGACACGGCGCTGAGCTCGGCGCTCAGCAGCAGCCCGAAGCCCAGCCAACGCCACATGTTACCGCGCACCGCGCTGCTCCGTCGGTCCCTGGGCGGCGGGGCGCCGGCGGCTCAGCGCGGCGTGGGGGCTCCTCGGGGCCGGTCCCACATGCACGCCTCTCCCCTCCGTGCCGGCCGCGGCGCCTGCAATGCCTCGGGGCCGAGCGACTGGCCGCGCCGTAACCGATGGGCGGCGGCAGCCCCCTCCTCCCCGCGGGCGGGCGGGGACCCTGGGAGGGTGCAACGGCGCTCCCTCTACGCCGGCCGCGATTCCTATTCCTCTTCCTCCCGCCGCGGGTGGGTGCGGGGGGGCGGGGGGAGGCGCGGCGCTCCCACGCCCCGCACCGCCGCGACCGCCCGGGAGGGCACGGAGAGCCGCGGGCTGCGGTGCAAAGGGGCCGGGGACGCGGGCTCCGCCGTCCCGTAGCTGCGGAGGGGCCGCTCCCCGAGTCCGGCGCTACATGCGGGCTGTGCTCTGCTCTGCTTCCCAGGGACGGCCGCGCGGAGCCAGCGACTCCTGAGCCGAGCCCCCCGGCTGGGAAGGAACCGACATGGACCTCTCGCCGCTTCCCGGCGCGCGTGTTTTTGTTTGTCAGTAAGTAACTGCAACTTTTTTAAAGTCGTATTCACCTTTTGCTGCGGGATTTATCACGTGCTTGTGCTGCGCTCGCTTTGACCAGCATTGAGTTTGTCCACCTCTCCCGCAGGGACGTGGGGCTTCTGCTGGTGCTGCTGGAGGTCGTGCTGTTAGCCGGCAGAGTCGATGCCGTAAGTACCGCGCACTGGGGATGGCTTTTACTGAGGAGAAGGAGGGCGAGGGCTGTTTCCTTGGTACCTGCAAGCGGGGAGCCGCGTTTCCCTTTGCCAGATGGCTTATCTGTCATGCCATTTAAAGAAACAACCAACAAATCATCTCTGCAAGCCTTACAGATTGCTGCCTTCAGCGAGGTGATATTTAGCAGAGAAGCGCGGGGCTTCGCTGTCAGGTAGCTTGAGGGATTCCACGGTTACTTTTGCTCTGGATGGCTAATTTGTTAAGCCGTAGCGAGCAATTAGAAGCAAACCCCGAGACGCCTTCATTTTCATGAGAAAAGCACCGAGGCAGGTGGGCGGGACAGAAATGTAGGGCTACAGACACCAGAATGCGGAGGGAAGTGAACCTGCAGGTGAAATGTGTTTAATCCTGTACAGACCTCATTTGAGGACTGAGAATTTGAAGACACGGCTTCATTGTACAAGTGAGAAGCACGTTTATAAATAAATTGTCATTTAAATTAAGGGACGTTTAGACTGGATATAAGGAAGAAGTATTTTACGTTAAGGATAGTGAGGCCCTGGCACAGGTTGCCCAGAGAGGTGGTGGGTGCCCCATCCCTGAAGACACTCGAGGTCAGGCTGGGCAAGACTCTCAACAACCTGATTAAGCTGTAGGTGTCCCTGTTCGTTGCAGGGAGGTTGAACCAGTTGGCCTTTAATGGTCCCTTCAAACTCAAACAATTCTATGATTCTATGATTATTAAGTCTAAAAATAAATTAAAAAAAAAAGAATGCTGCAATAGGTGATTATGAGTATCTGCTTGGGATGCTGATGTAAACTGAAGTTATTTTAGCTCTTCATCATTGTCACAAGGGTTTGAAAGAAGTGGAGGAGTTTGCATGTGCCTGTCCCAGAGCTTGGTGAGTTCACTGGAATGATTTTCCTTATTATGAGTAGGCTTAGGATCAGGCCTGGCTGCTGCAGGCCGAGAGATCGCAGAGGCTTGGCTTGTGGCCATGTCTGTCAGCCATTAGGCTGGGGTGATGCTCCCTGGCCACATGCTAGGATAAAATGAACCTCAACTTTGTTTTTTAAGAGCTATCCTACTTATATTTTAATCCCACTCTGGAGTTTTTACCCCTTTTTTATGTGATTACATGTCTGCAGTGAAATGGGTTGGAGTTGAAACTAAATCATCTTTAAGATCCCCTCTAACCTAGCCCAATCTATGATTCTGTGGCATAATGCACTAAGAATTGGGAAATACTAGGAGTTTTGCAGCTAGTATTGTGGCACACCATACAGGTTTCACACACAAGCTGCAGCAGGCCCTAAGATCTGCACGGGGCTGTTGGTGTCAGGATACTGGGGTGCATCGTTCCCTTTGTGACAAAGCGAAAGTTGGCAGGCAGCTCTCACAGTCCCACAGGAAAGGCACTGAGTGAGGAACTCGAGTGTCACGTGCTGATTTCCCTTGCCATGATCTTTTGGTGGTATCATCTTTCTGCTGAGTTGTGTGCAGTGAATGACAATATTGCCATCCACTGTTGTATGTGGAGCAGGCTGATGACAATGCAAGCATTTTAGGGGAACGAAATCAGTGGGATTAGCTGATATAACAAGGTATCGTTTGTGGTATGCCTCTTCTTTGTGAAGGTGTGCTGCAGGGTGAGTGGCATGATACCTGAGCTTTAGCCATAGCACAGACTCATATATCTTCATGTTCTGGCTTGTAGGCTGCAGGGTTAGCGTAGATGGATACAGAGGAGGTACATGAGCTACCTCCTCAAGGTAGTGGATGCAGTCTGGCCACTGCTGCTGAAATCTGTACAAAATATATTCTCCCTTTTATGGTAGCTCAGTGTCCTGCGTGGAGATCCATTTTCCTTGACTTAACATCTTTAAGATGGCAGCTGTGCGGAAGATGAAGCTCTGCTGTGCATTTGAGTGATGAAGTATGGTCATCTTTCCATGAGAAATTAGAGCAGTATTGCTACCAAAATACTTACCAATTTCTTGCATATATGCCACTCTCTCTGTTTAGCCAGTGCAAATCTTTCATTAGTCACATGGTGAGCTGACCTGGGAAGTTATTGGCTTAAACTAACCAGCCCTCACAAAGAGAAGAGTGGGAAGAGCTAACTTTGGATCAGATCCCCAAACACATTCATGGAAGCTTTGGTCAGCTCTGCTAAGAGAAGCAGCTAGAGGAGAGAACAAGGGGTTCCTTGCTCCTTCAGCCTCACCCCTGCTGAATGTATTTGCAGTGTGACAGAGCAGGCTTGCGTGGGAAACAGCAACAGCACCTGAGGAATTGAGGGTGGCTGGCTGGCAGTTGTGTGGAGGATTCATTTTGTGCATAAGGATTGTGACTGAGGACAAGGCTTGAATTCCAAGTTTTCTGTATGTCAGGAAAACCCCCATTCTCTTCATACTGCCATCATGTTTGTCACATTGATCTGTTACAGTTTGTTACACAAATTAACATGTGAATGCTATGAAGACTTTCATTAGCCTGGGTTTAAAAAAAAAAAAAAAAGAATTATTAAATTCTGCAAGACCAGATTAAAAGTCATTGTTCTGCCTGTAATGAGACAAGCAGAGCAGCTGAGTTTGATAGCCACATATGTGAATGAGTTTCAGTTGCTGAGGATAAACATTGCTGAATGAGTGAAATTACATATGTGAAGACACTGCAGTGAGATTAAGGAGAAAGCCAACAAGGAAGGACAGATAAAAAGCGGAACCCAAAGCATTTGACTGGGCATCTTTCTGGCAGACTGTTGTAGCTGCTAGGGGATGGATGTTTCTGAACAGAGAAGAAACAGGATGTTTAGAATAGCTTAAGACTGAGGCAGAAGAAATGGAAGAGGAATCCCTGGATGGAAATGCTGGGAGAAGTAGCCAAATGGAGTGGATAAGGCTCCGGTTATCTTTTGTACTCTTTGGCATACATTGGCTGGTGATGTTAAAGGCCTTGAGTAACTTTGGAACTTTTTTACATTATAGATTTATTTAAGACAGATGAACATTTAAATTGTATTCACTATACTAAATGTAGTTATGTTCACAGATTTCTTCTTCCTTTCTCTCCCTGCATGTGTACTTCATTCAAAATATAATTCTTTTTGTTCTTCTTACAGAATATACCTTCTGATAAAGCTGATTTTTTTTTTTTAACTGTCATCTTTCCCAAAAAATACTTCTTTTTAAGTTTTTTTGTAACATTTAATTTTTCCAACATTTGTAACTTAGTGAAGGGCCACTAAGATGATCGAAGGGCTGGAGCATCTCTCCTATGAGGAAAGGTTGAGGGAACTAGGCTTGTTTAACTTGGAGAAGAGAACGCTCTAGGGAGACCTCATTGTGGCCTTCCAGTACTTGAAGAGAGCATGTAAACAGGAGGGAGAACGGCTGTTTACAAGGGTGGATAGTGATAGGACAAGGAGGAATGGTTTTAAACTGAGACAGGGGAGGTTTAGGTTAGATATTAGGAGGAATTTTTTTCCCACTACAGCGTGGTGACACACTGGAACAGGTTGCCCAAGGAGGCTGTGGATGCCCCATCCCTGGAGGCATTCAAGGCCAGGCTGGATGTGGCTCTGGGCAGCCTGGTCTGGTGGTTGGTGACCCTGCACATAGCAGGGGGTTGAAACTAGATGATCTTTGTTTTCTTTTTTAACCCAAGCCATCCTATGATTCTGTGATTCTATTTGATTACCTTATTGGTGCTCCATTAGTACATTATTCAGACTGCTCCTAACAAAAATTACTTTTTCTAAAGCTCTACACTGGGGAGAGCAATAGAATCCCAGAAAAGGGGTGAATTTTAGACTAGGAAAAGTTATGAAAAAGTTAGAATAACATACACAAAAAGTAACTATGAGTAACTGATCATAACTGTCGTGTATTTAAAAAAAAAGAAAGTATTGATGTATCGAGAGATTTATATAGAAAGAAAATTGAGTCAGTATGAATGAAATAAGATTCTATTGATTTCTGTAACATTGTAAAGGGATGTATTAGGGGAAATGGCATCTGCAAGAGAAAAGCAGCAATCCCTTATAAGAATGGATGGAACCAATAGTACTATGTACATCTTTCTATTGATTTTATAGTGAAATGAGATAACTAGCACAAGTTAATGCTCTAAATTATACTTCAGCGCTCTACAGCTATCATATACACAGGTTTTCCCCCATGTGTTCTGTTTCTTTCCATCTCAAAAATTTTGTCTGGTGAAAGCAAGAGGACTGTTTATGTTGACCCAGGATTTCCAGGCAGAAGGAAACTAGGCTGAAGCACTCAGTCTGACCTACTGGGCATGTTCACTGTGAATGCATGCACTAAGATTCACTTCATAAAATATGTGATATAGTTAATGTATAAAAGTAACAAAACTTATTTTAATGTTTAATTTTTATTATTATTATTAGAACATATGATTTTGTTGCTCTCTTTTTCATAAAACTAGTGTTTTTGTGATGCTGGAGCATCAATGTCAGGTTCGATGGCTGCAGTGGTTGCAATTCTCAGAGAGCTCTCCAGGTGTTCATCAGAGATTTTTGCTGAAATTTTACTCTTCCTATACTTCGTCCTTGGGAGCAGCTGTTCAGAAATGCATGTACTGCAGAAAGTGATTACATGGATAAGGCGTGACTGTGAAGTGAAGGATATTTGTCTCTGCTAAGAGAGGGCTTATAGAAGTCTGCTAAAGAGAGATGTTCAAATCTTTGATTGCAAGTCCATACATTCCATTTGAAAATTCACAGGTAATGACATCTGAGAATGGAGTATACAATAAACAAAAAAACTGATAATTTTTTGGCAATCTTGAAGCCTGTTCTCAAATTCCTTTATCGCAGCAGAAAACATGGCTGTATATTCTACACTCTTCACAGAATTCTTTTGACCTAGTGTATCAAAATCCACAGACTTCTTTGCCATCACTTGAACTGGCACTGCACTGCCTCCTATGGCCTGGTTTCAGGGCACTGATGTTCTGTTGGGG